GCCTCGCCCATTCTTGCTTGGTTGTTCTACCATGTTGATTTTTACTGTAGTCTTTTTATATGGCATCGCTGTTGTGCCAGATTTTGCTTTAGCACAGGCACTATCTTCCTCTACCCAGATATGTTGATGCACTCTCTCCATTAAAGCCTCCATCGTGAGGGATGGCATTATTGTTATTAAGTCCCTCAACTTATTACCAACTGGTAAACCTCGTTTGTATTGTGCGATAGCGAGATTTGTAGGGCAATCCCCAATCTAGTTGAAAGTCTCCCAATATCGATTGTTGTAAGACCTCAATGTCTCCTTTTCGCCCATGTCAATGGAGAGTAGCTGGTCTATCTCCACTGGCGTCTTGGTATTCATTCTAAATCTAGTCACAAACGCTTCTGCCAACTGTGCCCATGAGGCTATGCTGCCTTCTGGCAGCCTTTCGAACCAGGTTAGGCCTAGGTCGCCAAGACTGGATGGAAACAAGATACACATTAGAGCCTCGTTTCGCCGGTATACTGCTATAACCTGGCGAAAGTGGCTTAAGTGCACGTAGGGGTCTAACTTCCTCTCATAAGTGGTAAATTTTGACTGGTGGAAGCCTGAGGGTAGCGGTGCGTTCTCAATTGCCGGAACGAACGGCGAGCTCTGTAACCTTGCTAATACTTTATCTGTTGGTTCGTAAGCAAGGCGTTGTATTGGCATCCCTACCTCGACACTCCCATGTGTCCTAGGGGCCAATCGCTGTAGGGCTGAAATTCTGCGAGGGTCGCGAGCCCTAGTGTCCTCCTTCCATTGGGCCCTCTCCTCGAGCACTGTTTGCAGGTCCGCTGACTTAGGCAACTCCGTGTGCCTAGATGTTGTTTGGTGCGTGTGTGAGGGCCGATAGCTTATTCCCTCTATATACGACCTTTCAGTCCTCGTTCTCTCAGACCTGGAGTAACGAGTCCTAGAAGTCCTTGATTGAGTGTCACCTGTTCTAAGGCTCCTACTTTTTGCTTACGATAGCATGACCTGTCTGTCACGATCTTCCGAGTGATAAGAGGGCGTGTTGCCTTTGCGCCCCTCTTCCGTCACCACCCAATTTTCCTTTATCTAGCGCGTCATTGTCTCCATGTTTGTCACCATCCTCCTTATTAACTCGTCTTGCTCCCTCACACGATCCTCCAAAACTTGAGGATCCAACCTCCACCTCTGTCTTTCAGGACTTTGAGAGCGACGGGGACTGGTGCCCCGTCTCTCCCGTGTGTCCCTCCGGGAGTTCCGTCGCTGGAGTTCTAATTCTTCCATGGGTGGGATAGAAGGTAAACCTTCGCGCCTCCCGCCCCCCTCCAAGGTTTGCCCATCAATAGCAGATTGCGGCAAATCTTCATTGTGCGCCATTGATTTCAACTAGAGAGGAAAACTTGTTCAAAATGTTTTGTTCTTTGTGCAATTCCCACAAACAGCGCCAATTGTATGAGCACAAAATAATCTTCTCGTATAATCCTGTTGATTAAGTTTGCACTCCACACGTTGTCGTCTTATCACCTGAAGACACAAGCGTAAGCTAGCCGGCGGGTGTGTGCCGGAAACCCTTCCGATACCTAAGTCAGCAAATAGACGATAGACAAAAACTCTGTATATTTGAGAGTAAAAATTGCGATACCTGAACATAGGTCCTGTCATGAGCTTTTATAGATTCTGCCTGGCACAGTCCTAGCATGATTCCAACTCTCCTTAGCAAAGTCCTGCTAGGAATCACACTCCTAGTCAAGAGTGCCTATCATGATAACACTACTTACCACCAACCAAGTAAGATAGTTTTCTCTTTTGTCTAGACTGGTGCAACTTAACCGAGCTAGCTTATTTTGGTCATGCTCTCAACTAAGCAATGATGTGATGGCATTGACTGAGCTACACCTAGCTCGGCCCTCCTACCTACAAAACACCTCGGCCAGCCACCAGGGCTAGTTTTAGGTAGCTTGGTCAACCACTCCGCCCAATTTGGTATTCAGACAAAATGGGACCGAGCTACTCGAAGTCCAAACCTCGGCCTTTAGTCCGGCCTAGAACAGAGACTAAAGGATCGTAGCTCGGCCAATATTTCTTTATAAATTACCCTCTCAAGAATGATAAAGAATAACTAAAATCCAATGAACAAATTGATACTCAACATAAATATAGGGGTATTTTGAAAAGATGGCTATCTTACAACTTTTAACCTATTTTGGGTCACACCATCTCTCATACACGTTTTATCAACAAAAAAAAAAAAACTAAAATAAGTCAAAAAGCCAACTTTTATCTATCTTCTCAAAACAACTCCTAGTTGTAAGAAAGAAGTACCTAAATTGTTTTACACTATATTTGATTGAGGGATTTAAATATGAATTTGAAAAAATAAAATAAAAAAAGTGTATAAAACTAAATGAAATATAATTATATTTTATTCACATCTTACATATCTTTCCCTTTCTCTTTTTAAATTTTTCCTAAATCTCCTAACTAAATAAATACAGCATTAAGATCTGTGATAATAAAGTCTAGAGAGAGAAGTAATACTATATTAAGGTCTGTGATAATGAATTCTAGAGAGTGTATACAGTATTAAGATCTGTGATAATGAAGTCTAGAGAGAGAAGTAGTACAGTATTAAGGTCTGTGATAATGAATTCTAGAGAGTGGAGTGGAGTGGAGTGGAGGGAGTTGTTGGCAAATTAATACATAGCACCTTGCCTTCACAGTTTACATCTCACCGACCCAATTTGTAATGCATAACTAGTCCCACATTGTTTCCCCAACAAATGGGATGGATTCAAAAACGAGTTATAGTCATAATCTAGATTGTATGATATTGCCTGAATATAGTTTCATTTTGATAATTTAAATATTTTATTTTTTAAAACTCTCTGTTAGGGGTTGAATAAAAAATTATACTCGGAAAAGGAGGGTGCGTGGGTGGTGGGATAAGGTGTGTGTAAAAAAATAATTTCTTACACAAGGGTTGTGAGAATAAGTAATTTATATAAATAAATAAATCTAACAATTTTTTTTTTAATATAAAAAATCATTTGCTAAAATTTTGAATTATTAATAAATGCATTTTTCTTTGACTGAATATAAAACCGTTGTGTTGGTTGACAATGTATACATGTTTCTTTGATTTACAAAAAACACAAAAAATAAAAGTGGTGGCATGCACCTCTTCTATAAATAAAAGGATAAATTACAAACATACTCCCTGAGATTTATTTAAATTATAAATTATTTTCTATATTTTTAGAAATTACATTATGTCCCCTAAAGTTTTTAATTTCATAACAAATAGGTCCTTTTATTAATAAATCATCAAATTAATTAACAGTTTTTAATAATATTAAAATTTTATTTCAATTAATAATTCAGATAATTTTATTATTGCACAGGTGAACAGTTAGAAATTTTACTTTTTTAATTAATTTTGTTAAATAAAAAATTCTGACAGAGAGGAATTTATAATTTTCTAAATCACAGAAAATAATTCGTATTTTATGCAAATCTCAGGAGTGTATTTGTAATTACCCTAAATAAAAATGACTAGATTATATTAATGTTATTAAGTATTGTGGGAAGTAGTTGAAGATCACATTATTAAAAAAAAAAAAATGTGGTGGCATACACCTCTTCTAAAAATAAAAATGACTAGATTATATTAATGTTATTAAGTAGTGTGGAAAGTAGTTGAAGATCACATTATTATACATTATGAAAAATTAATTAAATAGAGAGTTAATAAAATTTCAAAAAATTAGGAGGCAATCTTAATGTACATGTAAAAAATATCATATAATATATTGGTATTGGTGCAATTTTCAAGAACATAGAGGCATCCTCCATCTCCCAAGTAGTTCTGCTACTACTCCTCCATATACATCATTCATGAAAAAAAAATATGTTTAATTTTTAAAAATATATTTAGGACAAACACGATAAAATAAAGATATTATGATTATCATATCAAATTATTTTTTTATATATAGGTTAAATATACACGGAAAGTCCTACAAAATAAATAGTTCAAATTATTGAAATAAGACCATTGTGTATCCCAAAAGTCCAAACAACACCCTCCCGTCCAAATGTAATATTTACATTTTCTTTAACAAATGTTATGACATCTATTATTTTCTTTAAACATTTTTCTCCTCTACTAAACAAAGATAAGATAATTTTTTTTTTTTTTTTTTAAGTACAAATTAAAATGGTTGGAAATGGTGATTGCATCACTACAAGTTGTGAACCAAGAATAAAGAAAGAGAATTAGCTAATACTATACTAATATGCACCCAATATCTTCTAGCATTTGTTGCACATTACCAACAGACTAGGAAACATCCCCCACCCTAACCCATAACAGTTGACCTTTACAAACCACAAATATGTATATGTACAATGTATGTCAGCAGAGATCATGGGATGTTTAGTTTAAATAATTGCCGACTTCCACAAATGGAGCTTGATTAATTAATGTTTGGGATCGATTCTTACGCCATTTTTCAATACTTTAAAGGCTTGCATTGCTATCAATATGTGCTCCCAAGAAAAATGCTGATCAATTGAGTTCTCAAGTCAGCTGGCCGGTGCCCCTAAATCAAATTTTACGTGTATATTGTACTTCATCGATGATCACTGCAACACATTCGTGGCGTACAAACTTGCTGACTTTCATTTTGTGGTATATATTTTTATATAATCAATGATCTAGAAACTGTAATATTGGGCTAATACTGGATTAGTATTAAATCGATGGTGATGAATGTTCACGAAGGAATGGATAGTTTCATCGTGGCTTTGGCTTCGTTTGGTTTAATCTGGGTTTTAAGCTATACATGTCAGATGTGAATAATTTCCTAGGATAATTAAGTTTGATAAACAAGGTTGTATTGGTGATTCCTAGGACTGCAGTGATCAATCTCACTTCTCTACATGAAAATAGTTGTTTTATTTTTTTTGAAGTGGATATTAAATTATAATTGTGACGAGGGAAGAAATGGGAAACTCATGCTTAATTAACTTCTAATACTTTTATGGTTGACATCTAACTTCTAAGCCTGGGATTTTCTCTTTAAAATTCCAGGACTTTAAAAGAAAGAAAGACAAATAAGAACAACAATTACGGGTAAAAGAGGCAAAAGGTTTGTTCATATTCTCCATCATTGTTTCTACATTTAAAAGATCATAAAACGCTCGTTGTAACTTGGGTTCTTGACTTAAGACCAAAATGAAAAAGATAAAACTCCTCTACAAATCCAAACCTCCATTTTTCTCCCTTGATATATGATGGTTTCGCGGCCTCTCATTGCCTGGAAATCTACCCACCAGCTTTCAAAAGTCGTTGCTCAAGCTACAATCAAGCAAATAAAATTGGGAAAAAAAAAAATTTGTTTAAAAGACAGAGAAACTGATTAGTTTGGTCGAAAACAAAGCAAATTTTCAAGGATACTCACTTTGAACAGAGTTTCGAGCTTGTTCTTCACAAGGGAGTACTCATGTTTTACTTGTTGCAGAGATTCCAGGCACCTACACTAGGCCAAATAAGAAAGCAAAATTTTTCATAGAAATAGTTCTAATTCCTTATTTGATGTAATGCTCCTTCAAGATTTGGTTGCAAGATTTCAAGTTTTTAATTTTCTGAGGCATTCGACTTAGTATGGCAGTGTAAAGAAACTCACCCTTCAATATTCTGCTGATCACAATTGTTGCGGAAGGAAATGCAGGCGTTTTGAACTCTTTGCGCTCCAATGCTGTCATACCATACAAAAATAAAATTAACTTGCCAAAGAAAAAAAAATGAAACAAGCAATAGTTTTGTCTATGGCATTTGTAATTGAATGTAGTGATTGGAATTTGTCATGCTTTTCCTCTTTCATAGCAAGAATGTTGTTCAGAAACAAATTTTTACTCAAGTCTTTTTCCCAATTACTTGGGTCAGCTACATGAATTCATGTTCTCCAATTAGTTTTGTTTGCAGTCATATCCTCATTTAAGTTCAAGGTATTCATGTCTTTTCTTATCACCATAACCTCGACCCACGATGCACTTCTCCATTTCATCCTTCCCACCCTAATTCTATGGACCATAGCACTTTACTAAAATGATTACCAGTTCCAACATATCATTGAACTTCAATGCAATTTTCTTAATTGTTTTGGGGGAATGTTGAGTTTGCTATTTAAAGAAAATTTAGGAACTAGTTCTCCCTTTGTTCTTTGGAGTTCATTTCCTAGAGAATTGGCAATAAAGCCAATGGCTTCAATTCAAATAGAACAACTATTACCCATTTGCTAATATAAAGATGCAAAATGGGGGAAAGAAAATTAATTTTCCATCATAACCAGTATCAATTCTCAGTCACAGGAATCCATTATTAGCTGAATATGAGTTTTGTTTATCACTAATAATGACTTCCATTGAACTAATGAATGAAGAAAAGCTGCATATTTACCTAGAGCTGCTACCCTTAAACTGGTGGACATGGGCATCCACCTTTTTGAAGTCTACACTCTGTTGATCCCTATAAAAAAATAATAAATAAATAAGGTAAAAACTTTTTTTTGACACAATGAGATTGTTATTCATTTTCCAAGTCCTTCAAACTAACTAAAACCAAAAGCAGAAAACAACTCCACGGAAGAAAAGAAAGAAACAAACACACCATAGGTGATAAAAACAAAGAATAAACTGGAAAAAAAAAAAAGAAAAGAAAAGAAAAGAAAAGAAAAGATTTTAGTTCTAACAGAGCTTTGGTGAGTTCATTGAGAAGTCTCTCAGAATCTTCGAAGAAGAGAGACACCACTTCCACCACAAACTCTGGATTGCTCTCATCTTGCAGTTGCTGAAGTTGGGTGAACTGTTCATCAAGAAATTCCTTCTCATACACAAAACAAAAACAAAAAACTCAGCATCAGAAGGAAACTCAACAACCCAAAACAAGATACTCAACACAGAGAGAGAGAGAGAGAGAGAGAGAGAGAGAGAGAGAGCACATAAAAGCAGCAAACATTGGAAAAGAGAAGAAAAAAATTTCTGGGATTTTTCTTGTATGCTCTAAAATTGTGATATACTTGCTGACCTCATTATACAAGGAGGTTGTGTAGTCTGCCAACTGACTTTGCAACTGAAGCACACCTTCCATTGTAGGACTCTGATATCAGTCTCAAACTCAAACACTAGCTTTATCAACTTGCATATGCTTGTGATTTCACTTCATAGTGTTGAGGGCCTGTTCATTATTTTCTTGGAAAATGATTTTTAATGGACTATAATAGTCAAATAATTGGTGTAATTTATATATACATATATTAAAATTTTAGAGACATCTAACCTAAAATTAATTTGTTTATAGGCCGAGGAGCCTCTAGATTATGCCTCCGGTTGGGAAGTGGGTTGACTTTTTGGCTTTTTGGCTATTTTAGCCTGAGTTCTTTTAGCCTGGTTTGGGAAGGGCTTTTTGGCTTTTTGGCTTTTTTTGTGAGAGAGGATTGTAATGATTATGGGTTGGATTTGATGTTTTGTTTTTTGTGGCTAAAATAGCCTATTTTGTTTTTTGTAACTATTTTAGCCAAAAAAGCCTGACTTTTTTCTTCCCAAACGGACCCTATAATGGTCCTTGTACTTTCACGCTTATTTCAATTTGGTTCTTGCCCTTTTAAATTAGGCATATTAACCTTTTAAGTTATGGAGTTGTCTCACAAAAGGTTAATTCGTAACGGAAGTCACTTTTTCCATCCAAAAACAGACACGTGCCATGCACGCATACATGATTCAAGGGTGAATTTACACTTTCCCGCCACTTACACCAGCCCTAACTCATCATAATGCGATTAGGGTTCCAACAATTGTCCCATACGACGAATTGAATATCAAAAGTTGGGGGATTTGAGTTCTGACTAAAGGGGAATTGAGAATCGGCTAAAAAATTGACTCATTGGAACAAGATTTTTCAACATGGCAGTAGGCGACAATGGAGATGAAGTGTCCGATTATGGTGAGTCTTTTTGCATATTTTTTTTGTCTGAAAATTGTTTCTTTGATGCATTGCACACGGGTGTTGACAGATTTTTTTTTTTTTTTTTGGGTAATTGTTTGATTCCTTTTTGTTTGTTTATTGTTCATGGCCTGATGTAGTGTATTGATATATATATATATATATATATATGTATATGTATAATTCATACTAACAGTATACTGACAATGATGAATGTGTATTATATATATAAATTCAGATCAGTACAATTATGTTTTTGGTGCTTGTTAATGGTGCTATTTTTTTGTGAATGGAGTGGATGCCAATGGTTTTTGTGAATCGGATGGAATGGAATGGGTACTTTTGTTAATGGTTTTGTTTCTTGTGTGCCTATATGAATTAACCCAGATTTTTGTTAATGGTTTTGTTGCCTGTGTTGTCATGGTGGATAGAAATGACATATCCAAATCTAATAACATTACAAACCATCTCAAAAAAAGGTTCTGTTATATTTCGATGATTTTAGTTGTATGTTTTGATTTATCTTTGAGTGTTAAAATGATATAAAACTCATATTTAACTTAATTATTTTACATTAATCTTAATTCATGTATCTTGAATGTATTTGATGTTTTTGTTGCCTTCAGAACATAGGAAACAAGCAAAGAACCAGGCAACCACAATAGGATCCGACAACTGTCCAAAGCAGGAGGACAACCGGCTTGGCTGGTCGACTAGCCAAATGACAAGGTGGTCGGCCGGTGGTGATTTTGCTCAGTTTTGTAGAAACAAAGAGGTGTAAATTGATCACTTTGCTCTTGAATCATGTGCGTGTGCGTGGCACATGACTATTTTTGGATTGACTTCCGTTACCAATTGACTTTTTTTAAGACAACTCCATAACTTGGAAGGTTAATGTGCCTAATTTGAAAGTCCATGGACCAAATTGAGAGGGACCGTTTGTGTAATTTACCTTATAAATTAAGTTTGGTGACTTAGAAATATAATGTAAGATAAGTCTCTGATACTTTGTTTAAATGCGACGATTGCATATAACGGTGTGCTCCTTCTAGGTCTCAAGTCCAATATCCATTAGTTGCAATAAGCTCCTTGGGCCCATATTGCTCTAAATAGGATCCCCACAAATAGGCGATGAGATTGGTTTTTAGGATTAGTCGAAATGCGTATAAATTGATCAACACATCCAATTATCAAAAATATATCTATATATATAAGAACCGCTTAGCTACTTGAGGTTCATCTTTTCTTTTCGATTTTGCCTTTTCATTTTGAATAATCTACTAATGGTGACCTGTATGTTAAGTGAAGGTTTTTTTCATAATTATGCAAACATTCTTGGTCAATTATGAAATAGATTTTTCTATAATTACACAAACATTCTTGATCAATTATGAAACATAATCTTTTATTTTTAACAAATTACAAATCCACCCATAAAGTTTGTTTAAAATATGAATCAATTTTATAATACCAGAAATTATAATTGTCGTTTATTATAAATTTTAATTTAACACAATACTCAGGAGAGAAAAAAAATTATTCTCCTATGCAATAATAAATTACCAAAATTGTTTATTGAAAAATATTTCTCATATCATTAAAAACTGTTAATTGACTTAATAATTTATTTATTAACAAAATTGTTAACTAAAAAACACTTTTCATATCATTAAAAATTGTTTATTTACTTAATGATTTACTTATTAATAAAATTGGTCATTTGTTATGTGAGTATGATTTATATATTAATAAAATTAGTCATATATATATATATATATATATATTACCCTGTTTCACTCTCCTCTGGATATCTTTTTTTCTGTTACTTTGCTTCCTCTGGCAGTGTCATCAACCCATCATGTGTGAGCACTGAGCAGTTAAAAAACTCTGAATTTTAAAACCACTCTTGTCTCTCACAAGATCCAAATTTTGGAATGAGGATCCTCTCCTTGCCGTTCCTGTGTTTGCACCCGTCCTTGCAGGCTTTCGGGTCTACTTTTAGGCCCAATTTTGATAAGAATAAAGCTTAAGACCCCAGTGGGGGTACTGGGGTCACTCCTGATTGGCCAAAAAAAACAAATTTTTTTTTTTTCTTTGGTTTCAGCCACTGGCAGAGCGCCATGTGGCGCTGGGGTCACTGGGGTGCCCCCAGCTGGGGTTCTGAATCACAGCCGTTTTGATAATATGAACCGTTTATATTTTATGATTTATTCAGTATATCATACCTGTAAAAAATCAAGTTGATCGGATATCAGAAAGTATGTGTTCGAAAAATTGAACTAAAAACTATTTTTTAAAGAATTTAATAAACAGTTTTCCGAACATATGCTTTCTGATATCCGATCAACTTGATTTTTTACAGGTATAATATACTGAATAAATCATAAAATATGAACGGTTCGAATTATTAAAATTGGGCCTAAAAGTAGACCCAAAAGCCTGTAAGGACAAGCGCAAGTACGAAATTACAAGGAGAGAACCTTGGCTCCAAATTTTGATGCCATGTATTACTATTCGACCTTCCTCATTTTTGATTCCTTTTAGTAATTGTTGAAATCTCTCTCTCTCTCTCTCCCCATGTGTGCTCCTCATATTTTATTACAACACTACAAATTTAAACTAATAAATTTAAAATTTACCTATAAAAGAAATTAATAATTTAAATTCATCATAAAACCTATGTTTTATAAATTTAATTTTAATCACACAAACATATTCTGGACAAATTATGAGTTAAGAAAGTGAATTTATAACATTTTCCTTTATTTATGAGTCAATAAAGTGAGGTCATAGCATTTTGTTTTATTTTATCAAAAATGTTAAAAATTTTAAAAATTTTATCAAATACCTTGTATAAGTGTAGGAACAGTATAAAACCTATATTATATTATGTAGATCTATATTTAACAAAATTTTTAATAAAATTTATATGATCTCTGACATTCCTCGTGGCGCATGAGCATGACATTAATTGCTTGCTATACTTGCAGTTGGGTGACGTGCTGCAAGTGACTCAACACTATGTTACATCTATCTCTAACAATATTTTTTATTTTTTTTAATATTTCTTTCTCTAAGCAATTTTTTGACTATTTTTTTCCCTAATTTTTATTTTATATTTTTATATTTTTATTTTTCTATTTGAGATGAACACTTTTTCAATTACATTCTCCATCAACACTTCCTACTTTTCTTATTATACTTAAATGCTCCATTCATTTCAAAATATTAGATTAGTTTCTTATGGGAAATCTAACATTTTTTAGTTGTACAATTATTACACCTCAAAAATCTAACTTTCCAATACTATTCTTTGAATTTTTTTGAGAACATCAATTATCATAATTATACTTTTTATGTAAAAATTCAAAAGAATGGCAAATAGGAAATTCATGTTATTTTCGTCCACAATTTTTGAAGAAAGACTAATATATGAAATAATAAAAAATAGAATAAAGGCTAATATTTTAGAATGGAGAGTCTCTTTTCTTATTATTTTTAATTTAAATTATGAATTGAGGCAATGGGCCAACCAATCATGGATTCCATTGGAATAAAATAAAGTTTAATATATTTAAGGGTTAATTTCATTCTTATCTGTTAAATTAGGGGTTGTTTGGAATGTCCTAAATAAGTGTATTTTTTATCTTTTTAGACTAAAAATTTGAGGAACAAATTATGGATATTTGGGTTAACTTTTTTACTTTTTATGGAAAAATATGTATTAAAAAATTGTATAAATTAGTGTGTAGGGGAAAATTAAGATTAGGAGTTGTGCAGCTGTAATTTTTTATTTTTGGTGAGTAGTGTTAACTTTTTAACTTTTTAAGAAACTTTTTTACTTTTTTTCAACTTGCAAAACTTGACTTTATTATCATTTTTTATTATATTTTTAAATTATCAATTTCGTCTATTTAATCACTAAAGTTTTTAATTTATGTTCATGTGGTCCAACTAAAGATAATTATACAAATCAATAACGGTTGAAGCCTAATTTAATAGATAAAAAAAATGATATTTTAGAATTTAAGTAATTTAAATTATACGAAAAAACACTTATTTTCCTTATTATTTGAACAAACATCTCACAACTAATTTAAGGAGTGTTTAGTTGTCCGGTTTAAATTGTTCAAATTATCAAATTAAGATTTAACTATTGCTAATTTGTACATTTGTCACCAATTAGATCACATGGATGTAAATAAGAAACTTTAAGGACTAAATAGACAAAATCAATAATTTAAAAATAAAATAGAAAAAACTAGTGATATTTTGCCCGATAAAAGTGAAATTAACCTTATATTTGAGGGAAGCTACCCTCTACATTTAGAGAGAAACTATAGCAACTCCTTAAAATAAAGATAGGAGAAATAGCATGTCACTGATTTTTTTATAACCGGATTGTTTGGGATGCTCTAAATAAGTGTATTTTTTAATTTTTTATGAAATATGGGTTGGGTATAGATTGGGTTTGAAGTGATGTGATAGAAATGTGATATGACTTAAATAGAATAGTGACTTTTTGACTTTTTTAAGTTATGACAAATAAGGCCTTATATTATTTTGAGATAGTTATTTAGTAAGTAATTGTGAGTGTTAATTTTTGACCTCACAACCAAACAAGAAACGTAACAGGAGAGCACGCGACAGATTGAACCAAGCATTTGCACACAAGAAGATGAGAGAAACCTTGGTGGCCCATCCACCAAGGCATTCTGATGATCAAGTTAGTCAACAATCTTGCAAAATCTCAACTCAATTAATCAGTGCACAAGTAAAAGTATACATTAGACTCATGGGGGTGCTTTTCTTTATAGCCACTAGTGCCCTCGTCTCCTAGAAGTCTCACTTCGTTGAACTTAAGCACAATGCTTATCTCGGACTCTTTGTTAGATATGGATGAACTCCTCAAGAGTCTCATCCTTATCCGACCTAAACGTTTCACTTATCAAAGACTCTTGTCCTCTATTCAAATATTTCAGATTTCAGTATTATTGCACTATATCTCGGTAATACCATAATCATCTCAACAATCTGACTCGTCCACGTGGCACCTCGGCCAACACCTTGACCACGTGGCATAACCTCGAAAATACTTCCCCACAATGATGAAAGCAAATAAGGTCTTTACATATAATCTGATGATACAAAAGACCTAAAGAAGAAGAAGAAGAAGAAAAGAAAAAGAAAAAGAAAAAGAGAGAGAAATATTTAGGAGTCCTCAAAAGATAGTGAGAGAGGATCTGGGAAATAGTATTTGCCTCTATCTTACATGAACTCCTTATGTTTCATTTTATCTCTTGAATACTTTACATCCATGCTTGCTCTTGATATTTTGTAAATTGTTAATCCATTTGATTCTGTTCTTGTTTTTCTTGTTGTTTGTAGTGTTGTTGTTGTGTGGTTATTAGATTGATTAGCTAGACCATTGGCTGTAAGCAACTCAAAAAGGGACAATTGGCTAGTGCATCAGTGTGTTTGGTTTTAGTTTTTTAGATTAAGTTTTTTGAAAATTGGGTTTTTTAGTTTTCGTATTTTTTTGTTTTTAGTGAATATTTTTAAAATTTTAAACATTTTTTTATTTTTTTAGATGCACCTTACTTAGATGTATCTAAAAAGTAAAAAATTTGTAAAAAAAATATTTTAAAAAATTAATAAATACATAAAAATACAAAAAATGTACTGAGTTCTTGTATTTTTTTTTTTATATTTTTGGTATGTAGTGAATTTTTAAAACATTTTTTTTACAATTTTTTTACTTTTTAGGAGTATTAATGTTAGGTGTGTTTAAAAATTTAAAAAAAATGCTTAAAATATTAAAAAAATTAGTAAAAACAAAAAAATACGGAAAATAAAAAAGTAGAATTTTTTGAAAAGTGTTTTTTGAAAAATGAAAACAAACAAGCTATTTTTTCTTTTAATGGTGATGTTGGACAGTTTACCCTATAAAATGGGTTTGGTTATTAGATTGATTAGTTTGA